TTTTTTTTTTTTTTTAATCTGCCTGCCCAGGAAACTGGATCTGTGTCAGCCGGGGTCCTAATTACAGGCTTTTTAGCCTAAACCTACAGAGACAGCCAATGGCAGGGAATCCCAGGCAGGCAGGGAGGGGAAGAGCAAAGGATGGCGGAGGGGGGGGTGGGGGGTGTACATTAACCCTACAGGGGAAAGAGCTCTAGATGACATCTGTTTTTCTCGCTACCTCTCATTTTCCGAGCGTCCGCGCCCTTCCCTCCATCTGCGGCTCAGTTCACCCCAGGTTGCCGTTTTGATGACTTTTATGATCCGCGCGGTGATTTATTTTCCTGCCTAGATCAGAAAGATTTGAAGCTTCATGAAAGAGGGGAAGTGTCATTACACCCCAATTTAGAGGTGGAGAAACTTTGGCTGGGCTCTCACAAAGGAGTTAGCCAGAGGCAAGTCAGGATGTCCTACTTTTCTGCAAGCCCTGAACACCTGACGAGTCTCCTAAAAGCCATTTAGACCGGCTTTGGCTGCAGCAATTGCACTCGGGCTAGAGTCAGGGTAAAATTTATCAGTGTCTCTGACGCAAGGCAGAGCGTCTTGGTTGTATTTCTGTGTTATTTATCACATGCCGTAATATTTTCCTGCCTGCTGATGTGACTCTGGGGGGGAGAGGGGGGGAGCGCAGACACAGCATCCCCCCAAAACCCCACGTCTGAAGGGACTGGACCAGACCTCGGCCGCCTGCGTGGTCCAGGAGTTGCGTCTTGTTTTGGGGCTCTGTTGGGAGCCCTGAGGGGCGCAGGTGGCTCGTGCATTCTGTAGCTCTCTGGGACCAGGGTTGGGACTCACTAAATGTGTTGTGATGGGAATTTGTCAGAGGAGGTGGCCAGGCTCAGTGGCAAGCTGGTGGCACTGCTGGGAGAGGCCGTGTTGGCGCACAGGTTATTGCACTGCTCACTGGTGGTTTATATCTTTGTAAAATCACCTGGGCAGGGAAAGAAGCAGGAGGAAAGGGAGAAGGGGCAGGCGAGCATCTCTGCAGGCTGCCTCTCTGCTGCCCCACACAGAGGTCCCACCGGGGCTGTCAAACCAGCACCACAATTCCCCACGGACCCTTTAAGGTCTCAGATCTGCGCCAGGGAAGTTAATCTGCTGTTTGGCTTTGGTGGGAGGTTGGTCTCGGCAGCTTTATCTTGGCCCATTTGCCGCTATGGACTTTGTACCACCGGGTGGTGGTGGTGGCCCCCCCCTCCTTCCTCCCCGCTGCCTGCGCTCCCCAAACTCCACCATCCCTCTGCGTGGTGGAAAGATTAATGGGCAAAGTCCTCATTAGGCGACCAGAGGGACTCAGACTCAACAGATGGGTCACTCGAGGCTTTCTGAGGTGGGTCCAGCCGCCGTTCCACCGAAGCCACCACCCTGGAAACGCCACGAGGTCCCCCACGGGCACTGAGGCGAGCACGTACCCACGGCACGGCACGTGTGGCGGGCAGGACGCCGGCCCGACGGGCTTCCCTGGTGCCAAAGCACCGCGGCGTGACCGGGGCGCAGCCGGCAGCATCCCCACAGAAAGGGCAGGGCTGCGGAGGCACAACGACACGTGTCACGGCCGAGGAGCCGGCAGCCCCCGCCACCCCTCCAACTCCATGGCTGACGTCCGACGGCTCCGCGCCGTTAACAGAGCGCAGGGCTGGGGGTGTATTTTTTTTGTAAAAACTGCGGCTATCAAAACTGCAACTGAAAAATCCACAGCCCGACTTAACTCTCCTTGTGGCCTCCCCGCTGTCCTGTGCTCAGGGCAGCCCCCTCACCCCGTGACCTGAGCCCTCCCCGGGACCCCACAAGCTCCCCGTTGGGCGGCCGTGCCCCATCCCAGGCCGGGGATGTTGTTATTTAGGAGTGCCGGGGCTGAGCCAGGACCCTGCACAGCCCGACCACGAGCAGTTGCGCACTCCTTGAGGTGATTTTGGGGTGCAGCCGCCTGTGGGACTCCAGCACCGAGCTGCCCTTGACTGTGCTGGTTTAGTGCTCTGATACTGGTGGAACTGGGGTGGGCAGTGCGCAGGGATGCTGTGAATGAGGGTGGCTGGGTGGAGAGTGCACCCCCCAGCACCCCCTCCTGCTCCAGACCTCCCCAATCCCCTTTCAATGACGCCCCTAGAGCATCCCCACACCCCCAAAATCCACCTCCACTAAGGCCCCAGACCCCCCCAATCCTCTTCCACTAACACCCCCAGTGCCTCTCCTGCCCTCCCCTGACACCCCCAGCTCCCCCTCCTGCCTCAGAACCCCCCAATCCCCTTTCACTGACCCCCC